AAGCAAAAAAACTTATTTCACTCAGGTGAGCAACCTATCATAAATTTTCCAAGCAATTTCTAGCTACTCCCAGAATGGTGTTCAAGCTGTCAGCATGTATATCACAATAATTTGATATTGAATTGAAAGTTTCACACATCACACATATGGGTGCCTTCAAAAACAAATTTGTGCGAGCCCTGTCACAATAGAATGTTTTAGCTGTACGAGTTTTAATAGATGGAACATTAAAGTTTATTTGAGCCACAATCCCATTAGCATCAATTTGATTGTGAAGTAGTTTATGCAAGAACATAATTGATGTACACTTCCTTCTCAGTTCTAAAGACTGCGCTTGAAACCTAGACAATAAAAACTTTCAGATATACCACGTTCAGGATATATACCGTCAACTTTAAAATATAAAAATTTTAGAAACTTTCTCTGAACATGCTCAAGAGAATCAATGTAGCAGTTGTAAATTGGGTTCCAAATTAACGATGCATATTGCAATTTCGATCTAATATATACAGAATACAAAACCAACAGTGACTCTGGGCGGCTTAAGCTTCTACAGGTTCTCACAACAAAAACGGTATGACCGCTTCACTCACCTTTTGAGCTATGGAGAGTGAAAAATTAAGTTTATGGTGAAAAGCTACACCCAAATCCTTAATCGAGTTATAACGATTTATGTAAGCATCCCCAATTTTATAATTAAATTTACAAGCCGAAATTTTCCTGGAAAAGCTGACTACACTACACTTAGATGCATTAAGAAATAAATTATTCAGGTCACACCAAGCCACTAGAGAATAAATATCACGCTGAAGTGCAATACAATCAGTCTCAGACTCAATAATCCTGAATAATTTTAAATGATCCGCAAAGAGGAGCTTATTACAACTTAAATAATACTCAACATCATCACTAAATAAGGTAAACAATAACCGAGATTTGAACCCTGAGGCACTCCCGATTTAGTTATATACTGGTACGACTTGAATCCATTAAAAGTAACACATTGCTTCCTTTCATGAAGATAACTGAATGAGTGCTAAAGCTGATGAATGGAATCCATAATAGAAAAGTTCATTCAAAAGTATGCCATGGTCCACCCTATTGAACGCTTTAGCAAAATCGATATACTTCGAAGTTGAGTCATTTATTTCAACAGTGAGTAGATCTGATCAAAAGAAATGTTTTTTTCCTTTACCATTTTTCTGGTAAAATTAAAGTAACAAAGTTATAGCCCTTTGGAAGTGTGAGTACCGCCCTGTCTCAATAATAATATTATGTGCTCGTGTTTGATTCATCGCATCGGAAACAAAAAAGCGAAAGAATTTGGAACGATGTTTTTACAATTATTTTAGTCAGTTGTATACAGTCAGTGTCAGTCGGTAACGCGTTTGAATAGTGGTGTCTGTTGCGTGGCTCAAACGAAATAAAAAATGGCACATGTTTATGCGGATCGGTTTCCCAATCGAGTGCAACCAACCCCTCGTGCCTTTGTTAATGTAGTACAACGGGCTCGTGAATCAGGTGACTTAAGACCACACAGGGGACTGCATGCCGGTGCTCCAAGACCTCACGATCAAATACAGGTCCGCACTGAAATACTTGTCGGGAGGATACTTTATAAAACAAGGTAAAAAAAATTGTTTAATTTTTTTTATTTTTACACACATATTTTGGTTTATCTTCCTTCTACAATCATTATCTGAAAATTAATGACTCAACTTCAAAGTCCCCCCACCCTGTATACTTCATCTAGTTGACCTTGCCGATCGACACATTCAATAGCGAACTGAGTGAAGATTGTTAAATTAGTTACTGTGGATCTCTTAGTAAGAAAACCATGCTGAAAAGGGAACAGAGATCTATGAACTTCGGAGTAAATTCTATTATGCAATATTATCTCCAGCAATTTGGAGAAATTCGACAATATTGCCACCGCTCTATAGTTTTTAATACCAGTATTATCCCCTGATTTGAAAATAGGTGTCACTCTAAAAAGTTTCCAAATATCAGGGAATGTGTTGGTTTCTATAGTCAAATTGTATATTTTTAATAACGGCTTAACAAAGACATGAATACAATCTTTGACTATGAACGAGGGGATGTTGTCTGTGCCGGCCGTTACTCTATTCTCGAGTTTTTTAGATGCAGCAATAATCTCATTTCCAGGAATGTCATTGAAAAATGTGTTAACCTGACTAGTAGGATTCCTGCCTTCAATAAAATCATTACGAGTAGATGGATCAACAAAACCACTATTAAAAAAGTCTGCAAATGCATTGACAGCACAGTAAGGATCGTTCAGTGAGACGTCATTCAACTTCATTTTACCAGGAATCTTAGTAGTTCGATTTTTTGCAAACACGAAATTTTTATAGGCCAGAGATATTTAAAGCTTTACCTCAGATCTAAGACGTTTGTACTGTTCATGTAGATGGTTATTGTGACACTTTTTGTACTTCACATGGGTACCGAACGAAAAGACTTTTTGGGGCGAAATATAATATCTACAGCAACGTCATTCAAAATACAATATGGCGGACGTCTAATATCACAATGCAATATCATTATGGCATGAGGTTGATCTGATGAGGGAGTCGGAAAATGTTACAAATTGACATGAACCCTTCGAATTGGTACTCAGTTGATTTTTCTTGGCAAGTACTGTGATACTAGGGCCTGATGATTAAGCTAGTCGACAAATATGTAAAATATTCATCTAGTAAATGCAGATCTTGATAGTGTTTATGGGTACTGTAGCTCTCACAACTTAAGAGTACAGTTTATTCACTGAAGCAAAGCAGTTACGTCATATATAGTAAATTTGAATGCCAACCTTAATGCAAAATAGATCCTAAATCGGTACGTATAGTTTGGATTTCCCGGGTACATTTATGTTGGTAACAGTTTTCTCTATTGTGACATTGTCGCAAAGCTTGTCAGCTAATTACGCCAACGGCTGTTGTTTATTTGTGGTTTATTTTCGTTCTTTGTGCCTCAATATTTGCATTGTTATTTTATGAAAACAGTTTTTTTCAAAACTTTGAGGTGTCCTTTCAAGCATTTTGCTAATATGCCGAAACCTCTGGGTCGACAAGCAAAAGAATTCGTAATTTCTTTGACGAAATATTTTGAGACCGAACGAGATCATGGAGCTCCATTATTGCCTTTACAGTACGTAAGAGAGGTATTAGGTAGTAAATAGAGTTTATACTAGCTCTAGCGTTTACAAAACATGTCGGTTGCGGTAAGGCATCGAAGATTTTGTAAAATGTCCTAGGATCTAGTAGTTTTAATTAATGTGGCAACCATATGCGTCACTGTCATTATTTGACGTTTTCACGTAACTGCTTTGATTCAGTGAATAAACTATAAATCCCTCGATATGTTCTGCAATATTATTTGACAATAAAATATGTGAAAGTCTTAAACACTTAAACCATTAATTCATATCAAAGTTAATGAAGAGGAAACTGTGTTTTCTGAGAAAGTAAAACATTTGGGAATTTACTTTGACCTGGACTTACCTTTTAACTCCCATTTGAATAACGTCTTGAAAAATTGTTATCTATCCTTCAGGTTTCCGTTTGCAAACAAACATATTCTGCACAAAAACATCAAAATTGAATTTGTGTCGAAGCCTTGTTATTTCTAAAATGTTATATGGTTTTCCATATATAAAACTTATCTGACTTCTATTAAATCGAAACATTTGCAAATAATACCTGCGTCAGGTTTATCGAAGACCTAAGAAACTTCGAACATGTATCACATCTGTATAGCAAGCAGCCTTGCATGGCTAAACGTTCAAAGCTTTTTCAGATACTCAATTCTGAGCTCTACTCATAGGATCATACTAACATCGTCCTCCTAATATCCCAGTTATAAGCTTGTTTTACAGACGTCTGTGCATAATATTTAGGTTCGTAACCGTTCCACTACATCGCACACCACTTTTCAACAGATCTTTTATTCACAATGGAATTTTATCTTACAACAGTTTAGGTCAGGATCTGAATACTATCCAGTCTTCCCAGAGTTTTAAAGTACAGATGAAAAGATATTTACAAGAATTGCAGATCAACCGCTAGTTTAAGAAGTTCCTTCATTTTCATACTTTGTATTTTTCAGTTTTTTCGCGTTTCTTCATAAACTATTGTCTCTTCTTCTTTTATAGCTAAGTCGGCGTTACTCATTCTGTTATATTGTGACTTAATCCACTTATTTTCACATTTTTTTATTATTTCCATGTTATGGAAATACTAGCAGGGGAGACCGGGTACAAAAGTAACGGCGGGTCGAAAGTAACAAATGCTCTCTAGATTTATCCAATGGGCGAACACCGCTGCGCCGCCGTCAGGCGATAGCCGGTAGCGCCCCCCTTAATTTGATTCAGTCGCCGCATGCGCCACGCACTGTTAGGTTAGGCTGTGTGACAAGACGATACGTATTTACACATATCAAAAGTAAGTTTTTAGACGTTTTCTTATTTCATACTTACGTAGTCTTAAAAGGATGATAGTAATCTGAATGTTTGGATATCTATTCTTGATTAGAGTGATTGTACATTGCTTAAATTCATTTTTTAGTAGCACGTTCCGTTTCAAGGTTATGTTGCTCATTTTGGCAAAAATGTGGACGGGTATAAAAGTAATATAGCCCTGTGGGTAACATGTTACTTTTGTCCCCGTATAATCTTCAACAGAATGCCGCGACCACGCATAAGGAGTACTGAACGAGGAACTACCGACACAGAAGTGTATCGAAAAGCGGCCGAAGAGCATTTCAAAGATGGTGCAAAAATTAGAGGCCTGGCAAGAAAGTATAATGTTTGCCATGTAACATTATATAGATATATAAAAAAAGTAAAAGCAGGAAATACTAACGCAGTTGTGGGCTACCGTTGCGTCAACCGAGTTTTTAGTAATAACGAGGAAAGTAATCTACGCGACTATTTAATCGAGTGCTCTGCAGTTTATTTTGGATTATCTCCATCTGAAGTACGTAAACTGGCATACGAGTTAGCGATTAAAAATGGAAAAACATTTCCTGAAAAGTGGCACGATAGTCGAATGGCGGGTAAGGAATGGTTGACGGGTTTTTTCAGACGACACCCGAGCTTGTCTTTAAGATGTCCTCAAGCAACGAGTCTGGGCTTCAAGTTTTAACGAGCATAATGTGAGTAAATTTTTTGATAACCTTGCTGAAGTAATGGATAGGTACCAATTTGAGCCAAAAGATATCTGGAATATGGGCGAGACGGGCGTAACCACTGTCCAAAAACCTAGCAAAATTGTAGCTCAAAAAGGAATTAAGCAAGTAGGTGCAGTAACCTCTGCAGAGCGCGGAAGACTAGAAACTGTTGCTGTTGCCATTAATGCTCAAGGAGGACACTTCCCGCCTTTTTTCGTATTCCCGTTGAAACGATTCCAAGACCATATGATACGCGAGGGTCCTGTTGGTTGTGCTGTAGCTGGCAATGGTAGCGGAAGGATGCAGGATGCAGAATTTTTACTGTTTCTACAACATTTTAAAAGACAAGTCAAGCCCACAGTTGATCAAAAATGTTTGTTACTGCTCGACAACCATGCATATATCTATTCAAGCTATAGACTTTTGTCAAGAAAACGGAATAGAACTGCTATCGTTTCCACCCCATTGCACCCACAAGCTTCAGCCTTTGGATAGAGCAGTATTTGGGCCATTTAAGAAAATGAACACCGCTACAGACAACTGGATGCGAAATCATCCTGGTCGAACGATAACTATTCATTACATTCCTGGTATTGTTGAAGAAGCATTTCCTCTTTCTGTAACTGATAAAAATGCAATTGCTGGATTTTCCTGTACCGGTATAAGTCCATTTAATAGGAATATATTAACTGCTGTTGACTACGCGCCCTCATCTGTGACTGACCGGCCGTTACAAGTTAACAGAGAAGTTTCACCAAATGATATGTTGATTAGTTCTGACGCAACGTCATCCATTCAAGTTGATCCAAGTACTCCAGTTGGTGATCTTCCAACATCAGTTGACCAGAATGTTCACCGTACAGATAGCAATGATTTATCAAACAAATCAAACAATAATGACCAATCACCGGCTGTTCAAAATATACCGGACCTCGTCTTTGCTAGCACTGATCTTCTGTCAGCTAACTCAATTTTTGATGAAAGATCCAAAATACCAGTGCCAGGACCTAGCGAGCTGCAACAAGCAAATTCTACCTAGCCGTTTAATTTCTCACCTAAAGATCTTAGACCTTTACCGCAAGCCGATCCGAGGACTCAAACAAATAAAGGTCGTAAAAAACGTAAAACTGCCATTCTCACGGACACTCCCGAAAAAAATTCAATTGAACAAGAGCACCAACAACGAAAGAAAACCAGTACTGGAGAAGGTAAGAGAAAATTGATACCTGCAAAAGGAAAGGGAAAAGGAAAGAAGACAAAGAAGGCACCAAAAGAAAAGGAAGATAGGTCTGACGACGAAGATTGCTTATGTCTTGTCTGTTTAGAAACTTTTGGCAATAGTCGACCAAATGAACAATGGATACAATGTATCGAATGTAAAATGTGGTCCCATGTGGAATGCGTGGGTGATGATAACAATTATGTGTGCCATAATTGCGATTCCGAGTAGGATAATAATGACTGAATTATAAAAGTCTGATTATAAAAGAATGATTAAGATTTGGTACTCTATTGATCTCATTACTTAAATTAAACATATTTTTGTTTGACTTGTTTTCTTAAAATATATAATTTTTGTAATTTAAAATACAGAAGTTTATTTATGTTATCAATGCAAAATTTTGAAATAAATAATTTGGTGGTTTGCCATGTATAATATTGTCTTCATTACCAACCCCTATGTCTTGTTACTTTCGACCCACAATGTGTTACTTTCGACCTGCCTATGTGGTCGAAAGTAACAACTAAGGCTTTTTTAATTTCTATTATTCGTATAAAACACAGCATAATATAATAAATCGAGTTACTAGGCTAAAGAACATAAACTGAATTTATTTATGGTTATATTAACTTAATGACAACATTAACACCCAGCCAGAAATCAAGGTAAAGGTACAAAGTGTTACTTTTGTACCCGGTCTCCCCTACATGTCTCATTTCGGGGTTAGATAGTGGAATAGCAGGTGCTAAATCTTGCCCCATGTAATGTCCACGTTTTGGTCAATAAAGACGATTATTTATTATTATTATTATTATTATTATTATTATCTATAATAGCCGTATCAAATACGATGCTCCTTCGGCCCAAGTTTTCAAACAAAAGTATATTACATTTTAACAGCAAGAGTGAAAAATACTGTAACATGCTATTATTTGGAAACTTGGAACGAAGCAACTTCAACTTTATTATCGTTTAAAAATCAAGAAGTTCAAAACGGCATTTTGCCAACCAGCAAAAAATATTTTTTAATGTTTGATTGGTAATGAAAAGCTAATCAAAAGCTTAATTTTAGAGGTGTTTTCTTAATAATCAAACTTATCTTGAACTGGGTGCGGTCAGTGAAGCAAGAACAAAGCTCTTTTTGTAGATGGATTATTAATAACAGAAGCAGAAACTTACGAGTCTCTAGCAGTACGCATTATTATGAGGGGTTTACAGGAACAAATTTCGTTCGCATATGGGTCGCTTGTCAATAAAGAAATCTTGGGTCTTGGGGCTGTTTTCCTTGCAAATAATATCTATTGCTTATGTTCTAGCATGATTTTAGTTTGAATCATACTCCAATATATCATTATGTAAACAACTATGTTTGCCGGAAATAATTTCACAAACTCAATGCGGTTATCCAGAGTAACAAATACATTAAATGCATAAACAAACAAATACTTTGAAAGCGGTATGTTTACGAATATTACAAACTTATGACATCTGGCTGTGATAATACTTTTAGCCTCATCACAGCATGCCTCAATCTTAGTTTTGCAAAATCAATAGTTTCAAGAGCGCCTAAAGAGAGAAACAATAGAGTTTCAGCTTAATGAAAATCCTAGAAGATACCCTTATGCAATTACTTAGGGTACCTAATTTTTTGGCGGCATGAAGAAGTTATTGTCGCACTTAGCCAAAAATTGAGATTTTCCGAGAACCAATCGAAATTGAACTTTTGTCGCTCTAGAGTGAAATAATCAAAAACACATACTTAAGAGTAGTACTGTATTCCATTATGCGTAATGATATCATCCTGGGTGAAAATCGATTCTGCCTTTTTTCAAAAATTGAAAGGCACCTACACTGGATACCGTTCCGCTTTCCTGTGCAGTTGCAGCAAAAGTACATACTTTGCACTTTGTACAAGAAGCGCATTCAGATATCTTCTACGACCAGTAAACTTTTACATAAGAGAATTTTCCTTATGTAACACTCAGCATGGAAATTGCTTCATTTTTATCGTCTTTTGTGTATCTGATGTAGTATCGCTTAGTCAGGCTGCAGCGGATTAACATAATAGACAGTTATGGGGCCCACCCACAATTTTCATTGAACCCATGTATGCAAATCTAAGGAATTCTTTCGTTGATTTATGTCTTCATGGAACCGCACTCTCTACGGCATTATGTGCTAATAGTGTGTTGTGTCAGAATGGTAATAAGATTAATTTATGGTTTGTATTCCACTAACATTTGTCAATCAACATCCGTCTTTTCATCTCTTGCGCTGTAGGTACATCAAAAGGCAGTTGCCTTAGAGTGCTATCGACCGCAGACGGCCAACCGTGTACAGCTGTTTCGTGATTTTTGGCAACTCATCAGCATGGTTGAGCAACTATCCTCTATCCAGAGACCCAGTTCTTGAGCTGAGGTAATAGAATAGCTAGTAGAAAGCAATGTATTATTTTTTGGCAGCTTTTGTGATGTGTTTTAGCGTTGATCAAATACATTTGTGAATGCGCATCTATTTGCGGTGAAATAATGTGTTACAAGGTTTTTCATATCATTAAACCTTTTCTAACAAAGTCTACTTAGTCTTTAGAGACGACACTGATGGACAACGGCGAGACAAGCACACTTTTTCACCCAAGAATGAGTCAGGGAGCGAACATTCTGTCAGTTTCGTTATTGTCTGTTAAGGCGGTCCGTGGGACCTTTGTCTTTGTATCAAAGTATGTCAGTTACTCTATCCATCTGTCGGGCTAGTTGCCCGGAAACCAGACAAAGTCAAAGAGAAAGAGAAGAAAAAAATTAAGGCAGATAAAGGGCAAAGTATAAGAAATGCAGCTATTAGTAGAGGAAACATCTAGGCATTGTTGACTGGAATGATTTCGATTCTCTAAAATAAATTAATTTTTAAGTAAGGTTTTTAATAGACCTGAAGACCTGAAGACGCATAATTAATTCATTTCACGGTACACAAACACCTGGAACACTCCATAACTTTGCATTTTTGAAATAAAGTTCAGGGAGCAAAAGGCAATGTTGTTGTGACATGCACTGCACCTTGACCCTACAGGATGATTAAAAGTGCTTGGTTGCAACGTTTTCTAGGTGTCTGTGTACCATTCAGACGTTACAGTAGGTCATGCTGATTGAACCGCTTGACCTCATTTTTGGGTATAAATTCTAATGTAAAATCTCGGGGTCGATACGAATCTGCTGTCAAAAATGGTGGTTGCTATTTGAATTTACAAGGTAGTCCTCCAAATGACCTCTGATGTCATTGTTTAGGCTATATCTGAGATCATCGACAAATCGCTTATTTGATACCCTGAAACTTTTCTCTGAACCTTTTCCCCACAGAATGCGTGGCTGCCAAGTTTCTGGAGTGTTCAGGTATATAATAGACCTACTTATACTTCTACTGAATATATCGCTATTATAGCCCAAGTTTGTTAATATTACTGGTTTTTTGGCAGGTTGCACAATTTTATCTAAGGAAAATTCAAGGAAATTAGAGAAGAGTCAAGGATTTCCAAGAATGGTCTTAGAAAAAATATTGGAATCTTCAACTGAGATTGCATATCGTTTAGAATCTTTAATGAAAAACATGGCGTTAAATAGGTTGACTCTGCACTTTCCACTCATAGCTGTTATCAGTTCATGAACGATTATGTTCTGCACGATTTAACCTGTCTGAGAAAACAGCTACGAAAACTTATAACAAAGGAATTAAATCGATCAATTCAGTCAAACAGACAATGTTGTGCTACGACTAAAAATCGCACGCCAGCCGTCAACCTCTGGCACAGCTAGGTATATCTACCTGCGTTTGATGCGTATGTCGTAAATGTTTCTATATACGATTCTAGGTTTTAATGGTAAATACTTCATTTGTATAAATTGTATCACAAACTAAAGAATTACAGTTTTTCATTCCTCAACATAGCCCCCATAAAAATTTAAACATTCGTCATGTGCCAACAGCTTTTGTACTTCATCGTCAAAGAATCCTGACCATTGATTCAGTTAGTCACAGTTTCTGGCATTTCTTATGTTCCAGAACAGTATGAATGTGCGCAACGTGACGCCGAGCAGAACGACGCCGCCAGAAAGCGAAGGGGATTTTTGAACAGCAGAATACTTTTTTGCGTTTAAAGACCCAATTACAGGGCGCACTACACAATCGGCAGGTTTGCAGATTGACATGGCGACGAAGCAATATAATCACTCAACCAACACCAACAGTGACGTAATGGCGGCGTAGTGAGAAATTGGTCAAGAGTGTCCGAGGTTGAACGGACGAAACGTGACACGATGCATAATCGGTTCTTACTTGAAAAATGGCCCTCGTAATACTAGCCCCAATGTGCGAATAAATGCGCGAAGTTAACAAAGCAACAATTGAAATTGGATAACATCACCTTTGTTTTTTATTACGGCTGAAATTCTTTGGGGCATACTGTTAACCAAGCATTGGCGAAAATTTGGTGTAAAACAATCCCATATTTCTTGAAGCTTTTGTGTCAGTTCGGTGATTGTACGAGCAGGATGTTGTCGTAGAACCTTTTTCATCTCGTGCCACAAAGTTTCAATAGGAGATCTGGACTGCTAGAAACCCATTTCAAAAGTGGTACATTATCTTCTTCCATGCATTTTATAGCCTTTTTTGAGGTATGGCACGCTGCACCATCTTGCTGAAACACAAAATCTTGGCCGGATGTCAAACATTCTTCCATCACTGGTAAAAGCGATTCTTCTAAAATTGCCAAATATTTGTTTGTATCCACATTTCCATCAATAAAATGAAGTTTTCCTACTCCTTTT